CACATAATTTGTGGCTGATTTTATTGGCTTTGGATTTTTCTCAGGTGTGTTTGTATCATAAAATGTTTTTTAGTGGTTTGATTTGAAGAAAAGTCAAGTGACAGTGCATTATTTGGGTAACTTCAGTCTCTGCTGAGGAAAACATCAAAACCTCTACCTAGCCCCCCAAATCCTCCTACCACTAGAAACAAACAAAAAAACCCCAAACAAACAAACAAAACACAAACCAAACCCTAAACCTGTAAATGGAAAGGTTTTGCAATGCTCACACATAATACACAGATGTATGGAAATTGGTCATTCCAAAACATTTCAGTTAGGAAAAAGCATGTGCTATAAAACACAAATACACATAAATTATGCCAAAGTGAGGAATAAACAAAAGGTGATACCTGTCATGTTTTCTACATTTGTTTTAGTATTTAACTTTTGATTTTGTAACTGAGCACCCTGATACAGGGTAGAGGGCCATCACTACAGATGAGTGTCCAGCACAGAGCATGTTCTTTGAGACACAAATGTATTTCTTGCAGTCTTGTTTATGAGGGAGCAATTTAAGAAATGTCTTTTTTTTTTTTTCTCCCCACCCTATAAAGATGGAACAATGCTGAAAGTGGCAAAGACACAGGTGCTTCTGGTCATGCAAATGCACCCTTCCCTTACACACAGGAGGCCTAAGCAATAGCCTTTTGCAGGAAGAAAGAGCCACAGCTGAACACCCCACGTACAGGCTGCAAGCAGGGACCATGTTTTGCACTGCACTGGCTTTCCTGGTCCACACCTCATGCAGAGTGGAGGGGCTTCTCCACAAATTCATATGTTGGCAGCAGCTGTGCCTGACAAAAGCCATCCTGGTCTCAAAGGACATTTGGCATTGCTTGCCAGTGTAGGATGACAGCCTGAAACCTTATGAGTTTTAATAAAGAGCTATTCCTACAATAAAACCTAATCACAGGTGTTACAGAGGGTTTGAGCAGTGAATTTGTAATGGTAAAACCTGGCATGGGTGACACACAATTTTCCCAAAACAGCTGAAGGCATATATTGTCTTCCACAGGCACCTAAACAGTACAACGACTCCCAAACTCTAATAAGCTGATTTCACTTCAGCATTTCAGGTCAATGGCTTTGAAAAAAAAGCTGCAGAAGCAGCTGGAAGTATCTTGCCTCACCAGGCTGTTGGTCTTGTTCCTTTTACCTACACTGCTGTCCATGTTTTTGTTGCCTATCTGTGGCAGGTATTTCACTTGTCTGAATGAACTGGCTGGGAAGGGGAAACACAGAGAAATTGCCAGGGTTTCTGGAGGAACATTCAGGTTCAGGTACATTGCATTTTGCATAACCATTTAATAAGTAGGGAAGTAGGCAGGGAATGTTTCAGGCTGAGAAAGACTTAGGGGCAAAAAGGCTAATGTGAAGTGGGATTAAGAAAAGGCTGCAGGAGCTGACTCACACCATGCTTAGCATTACAAGATAGGCATCTTAATCAGAACAGCTAGGGCATTTTTACAACACAAAATCAATTCACTGCGTTTTTTTCCTGAACACCAGTTTTATGCAGTCATGCTGCATGTGAGCAAATCGCTCCCTAGCAGTTTCTCAGCCTGTTTCAATCAGATTTCAAAGATGAATGAAGGCTTTAGAGATAACGTTTTTCTGTTTATTTTCCTAAATTGGCCATAGGAATGAGAGAAGTCCTATAAGTGCCTCTGCTAAGGCAAAAGCTGGAGAGTGCCCTCATATCTGACTAAATATAACAGGATCCGCATGGGAGTAAGCTTTTATAAACCTTCAAGAGGGGGAAAAAGCTTTCATCACATCTCATACTGTCATCGTTGTAAAAACCAGCATAGCATAAGGCATGTCTTACAGAAAAGACTTAGTTTCCTTGGTTCTGGTACTCAGCAAGTACCTTGCTTGAAGGTGACTTCATCTTTTTACACCAAGGTTAAAGTGTGATCTGAATTCCTGGTAATGAACCTGGTAATGAAAGCTTACCACCAACCAAAATTCTGGGGTTTTTTCTATTTCTCTGACAGTCTAAATGGCTCAGGAGAAGCCACAGGGGAAGCCTTTGATACAGTCTTAAAACTAGAAATCCTTACAACTGAAAAGTCTTTGTAGTACTTCACTGAAGTTATAATTCTGCACAAAATGAAAGGTGTAAACTAAAAGAGGAAAGCAGCACTAATGAATGTCTGGCCATATCTGTCAAACTCTTGATATTTGGTTTGTTGAAGCTTTGATATCCAAACTGTGCCACAGAGTATCCTCACCTATCACTTTTCATCAAAACAAAGGATTTTTGCAGCTCTAAAAGCTTTCCTGCCTTCTCATAGCTCTATTTGTCTAAATAAATTCCAGGATGACTCTTCTGACTCCTTCTGAGTGGCAAAGACTGTACTTGTGGATTTTGCAGTATCTTTGCATTTCTAAGAGGTGAGGAAGGCGCACTGGAGAAAAAGTAAGCTGAATAGAATAATAGAATCAGCTGGATTGGAAAGGACCTCTGAGATCATCAAGTTCAACCCTTGATCCAACACTGCAGTGGTCACTAAGCCATGGCACTGAGTGCCACTTCGTCTCATCTTAAAAACCTCCAGTGACGGTGAATCCACCACTTCCCTGGGCAGCCCATTCCAATGCCTGATTACCCTCTCTGTATAGAATTTCTTCCTAATATTTAACCTAAACCTCCCCTGGCAGAGCTTGAGCCCATGTCCCCTTGCCCTATTGTTGGTTGCCTGGGAGAAGAGACCAACCCCCACCTGGCTATAACCTCCCTTCAGGTAGTTGAAGAGGGTGATGAGGTCTCCCCTGAGCCTTCTCTTTTCCAGACTAAACAACCCCAGCTCCCTCAGCCTCTCCTCACAGGACTTGTGTCCGAGTCCCTTCACCAGCCTAGTTGCTCTTCTCTGAACCCGCTCCAGCACCTCAATATCCTTCCTGAACTGAGGGGCCCAGAGCTGAACACAATACTCAAGGTGTGGCCTCACCAACGCAGAGTACAGGGGAAGGATCCTGCTGGCCACACTGTTCCTGATCCAGGCCAGGATGCCATTGGCCTTCTTGGCCACCTGGGCACACTGCTGGCTCATGTTTAGCCTCCTGTCAATCCAGACTCCCAGGTCCCTTTCTGCCTGGCTGCTCTCCAGCCACTCTGTGCCCAGCCTGTAGCGCTGCAGGGGGTTGTTGTGGCCAAAGTGCAGGACCCAGCACTTGGCCTTGTTGAACCTCATCCCATTGGAATCAGCCCAACTCTCCAGTCTGTCCATGGTGCCGTAACCTCTTCATAAAGGGAAGGAGAGCATTCTTCTTGTACTGTTTCTTCTTGTGGGGAGACCTGATGTGTGGGGTGGAAGGTTCAGAGGCAGAACAGCTACATGAGCTGAGGTGAACTAAGACCAGATTCATTAGTGCGCAAAGGTAAAATCTTTTCCCTACCTCCCATCTTTCCCTTGACCTCTTTATGCTCTGTATCACATGACTGTGCAGTGCTGCTCACCTCGTCTAAGCAGAGTCACTGAACTAGGCACTCAGCTAAAGCTAACCTGTACAAAATGCTGCAAAAAGTTTAATCTAAATCCTCATTCCTCTGCATAGCTTAAATATTTGAATCAGGACTACGTGAAATGTTTTCTGTTCTGTTTTGAGAGATTTCTAAGTTTATGCATTCATCAACTACAAAGATATAGACTGGTGCACTGGTCCTGAGCTCAGTGTGGCCACACACAGATTATTGTGTCTGTTTACTGTCCAGACAGGACTGCTGAGCACAAGCTGCTCAGGGCAATAGACTTAGCTCCTGCTGGCTGTTGATTTGTACCAAAAAACATATCATATCTGAAAAAACAGCTCTGATCCAGTGCCTGGGACTGCTCTGCCACAGTCTCACAGCTGGTGTGGAGGCACCCTGCAGACGCCTGCATGCTTCACGTGCAGGGTGGTACAGTGCTCCTTGTGCTGTGAAAAATATCAGTGTCAATTCTTATTTCTTGGGCACATGCTTTTACTCTTATTCTAATATTCAGAAGCGTGGTAACACAGTGGCCTTTGGTTCCCCCAAATTACATTTTCATAACTTGATAATTTACCAATATTTCACCACTGCATCAGTGTTAGGTGTTCTCTGAGGAAGTCTGATAGAAAAAGGCTCTTGGAGACAACACCTATCTCTTAAGTACATAATTTCCTGAATCCCAATATATTTAGTCTTAGGCTAGTCATCTGCTCAGGCAATGACAATTCCATATACAGAAAGAATTAAAACATCTGTGATAGTTTGTAGGAAGCCACAAATAGGACAAATAACACACAGACTTAGTCAAGGAAGTTAGCCTAACTTTAGTTGGATGAATGACCTTCAGGAGATGCCTTGTATCCTTCAGCTCAGGGGAAGTTTGAATTAATAACTTAGCCAAGATGCTTAAGCTTTAGACACATGAGGACAGGTGAACTGAAATTTTACTCTCCCAGCTTTCAATCAATCATGCATTTTAAATATATAATTAAAAAATATTAAATGGTCCTAAAAGCCAGAAAGCAAGAACTTCAGTAGTCACTTACAGAGAACTCTACTTTTAAACAGACACATTTTTGAGGAACTCAGCATAGCAAAGCAATTAAGTATGTGCCTAAATACTTTTAGACCTACATTATATGTTTTCTAGTAGGTCATAGTCACAATGGTGCTAATCAATCATATATCCTTGTCTCAAGTTGTGGTGGTTTACAATTAGCAATGCAGCTGAAATTTTCATTAATTTGCTTCACAAACCCAAACAGAACCTGACCGGAAGTGTTGTAGAGATCAAACTCCTGCTTAAAACAGCACCCAAACAACATTCTCCCTCTCCCATGTTTTCCACTGCTAAAACACACATACTGTCAAAAAAAGAAATTGATCACAACCTTTTACAACTTAAAATCCTTTTAACATACCATTAGTCAAGCTTAGTGTGTGATTTTTTCTTATATTTTTAATGGTTTTAAAAACTTACCCATATAGGGTTTTGTGCCAGCCATAGAAGAAGCTTTTTCTGAGCCTTTCACTATGGTTGCTATGTTAAAGTCAGTGATGTGAACATGTCCTGCAATTACACAAAATAGAAACGGAAGTTAAAATGGCACTCCATACAAATATTCCTATCTTTATTTAACATTTAAGTGATAATGGAAAGAAAATTAATTGGAAAGATTCATAACATTAATGAAAACCTATTATTAAATGTTACTCATAATTAGAAAAGTTGGAAGCAAATTGATGGAATACTCTTCCTGTGGGGTTTCGCTTGCTACCTGCTTGCAGTGTTGAACTGGTTTTACTGATCACCCCTGAATCTTTTCCTGCCATGAACAAACTTGAGAAACGGGCCCATGAAAACCTCATGAAGTTCAGCACATCTAAGTATGAAGTGCCTCACCTGGGTCAGGGCAATCTCAGACATGAGTATTGGGAGATGAACTCATTGAGAACTGCCCTACAGAGGAGGACTTAGGGGTTCTCAGGAATGAAAAACTGGACATGAGCCAACAGTGTGGGCTTGCAGTCCAGAAAGCCAGTTGTATCCTGGTCTGCATCAGGAGCAGCATGGCCAGCAGGCTGAGGTGATTCTCTGTCTCTACTCTGCCCTCGTGAGACCCCACCTGGAGTCGTCTCCAGATCTGGGGTCCTCAGCACAATAAAGAAGTGAACCAGTTGGAGCCATCCAGAGGAGGCCACGAAGATGATCTGAGGGCTGGAACAACGCTCCTATGCAGACAAGCTGAGAGAGGTGGGGCTGGGAGAAAATAAGTCTCCAGGGAGACCTTACAGCAGCCTTCCAGTACTTTAAGGGGATTTATAAAAAGGCAGAAGAGGGACTTTTTACTTGCAGATAGTGATAGGACAAGGTGAATGGTTTTAAAATGGTTTGAAAGAGGGCAGGTTTAGATTAGATGCTAGGAAAAATTTCTTTATCAGAGGGTGGTAAAGCACTGGAACAGGTTGCCCATAAAGGCTGTGGATGCCCCATCCCTGGCAGTGTTCAAGGCCAGGTTGGATGGGGCTCTGAACAACCTGGTCTAGTGGAAGGTGTTCCTGCCCATGGCAGGGGGGTTGGAACGAGGTGATCTCTGAGGTCCTTCCAACCTTAACCATTCTAATATTCTATGATTCCATCTGTTTTCTCAGAGCAGTAAGTAACATGCAGAAGCAGTATGTGAAGCTGTGTGAAATTTCTCTCTCGTTATCTCCAGCTACAGCCACCTCTCAAAACATCAGGTGCTTGTGACACTGTCTACTGTCTCATCCACTACAGGTTACCATCAGCCCATTTTTTTCTGAGTCTCCTCAGGGCAAAGAGGAAGATGAGTAGAAAAATGATATTTTTATCATACAATAACTATAAAATTAGATCTACAGTAGCAGAACAGTGTGTATGTAACAGGAGCAGCTCCCAAATGATCATTCATTTGACAGCAGGTTGAAAGATGAACGATAAGTGACAGAAGTCAGCCTGGGGACGTGCTGCCTGACCAGCCAGACGGCTGATTTAAACTGAACTCATCAGACTGGATGGCCCCAACCTGCTGTCATTACTTTTTCCCTTGGGGTAGCTTATGATAAGTGTAGATTAAATTGATCCACCACAGTGAGGCAGTAGTTATTAATCCTGTCTTGCCATAGACAGGTAAACTGAATATAAACCCATCTTGAAAAAAATAAATTAAAATTGAAACTAGACTTTTAATTTGACGAGTCTTCTGTTAGGCTTTGCATCTCTGTTGTAGGACTAGTGTCATATTGTTGAGTGATGTAGATATTATGCACTTTGTGATTACATCAGGCAGTGCCATTATGGAGGATAGAGCACAGGGAAAGACACTCCCTTTCCCAGCTTAGCACTGCACTCAGATCAGGATTAATACATCAGGTGTTGAACTAGAACTCTTGCGTGACAAACTCATGTGATTTTTTTTTTTTTAATCAAGTCTCAAACTCATTCAATCCACAGAATGTATAAGGCTTTGGCTGTGATGCTGCTATTAAGCAAGAGAAGTTGTTATTATGTTTGCTGCCAAAGATGAAAAGTCTGTAACAAATGACTGATGTTGGATTTTACAGTGGTGCTTGATGAAGGAAGAGCCATCTCAACAAAATGTTATGCTGCTCCGACAGTCTAACCTAGATCCTGTTCAAAGTCCACAGGAAATGTACCTGCCAATCTGTGATGACTCTGCAGCTACATATGTGTGAACTGAAATTCTCAGAGGACCTTAGTTTGACTGTATCTGAGCTGGTTTTGAAGGGAAAAAGGAAGAAGGCACTTCCCGCTGCTAAACTTAAAGATATTTCTCCAAATGGGAGATGCAGAGGAAATTTTCAATGAAATGGTTTGCATGTTTTCTGTACTTTTTTCAAGAAACCTGCTTCGATTTTATTGACACATTCTTCCTAAGACACCCAGCTTGGGAAGACATCTACTGGGCAGACAAAAACTGTTAGCAGATGAAAACCGTCTCTTTATAAGGGGCAGGAGATGTTAAGCTGTCATAACATGAATTAGCATTCACAGCCCAGCCTGACATCACATTTCCAAGATGGTATTCTTACTTCCTGGTGGCTGAAGTGTAGCTATTTGCAGTTCATTTCTGCCATCATAAAACACTATGGAAGAAGGCTTCTTGAAAATGATACCTGAAGATACCTGAACCACATACAGCCTCCTCATGGCAGTAGTTTAAAGCAATTCAGTTTACACTGTAGAATGAAATGTTGCAAGGATCTCTGGAGACTAATACTTTCTCTTTTTTTGACAGATAAATAAAAGTTCTGTCACTTAAATGACAGCACTGTAACTGATGCTTCCTATTAGCCTGCCAGCATGACTGCCCATTGCAAAACATCTATTGCATAACATCCATTCGGACTGATTCAGATAGTTGATTTGCAATCAAAATTGCCTTTCCTGCAGTGCATTGTTTTCTCTCCCTTCTATTAGTGTCCTTTCCATTTAACAAAACCAAAATAGCACGTGTAAATTGTTGTATACACTGGTTGATTTTTTTTGCATTAAAAATGACTTTCTGCAAGCTAAGGGATGGACTGGAAAGCATAGCTCCTGTGCATCCTGCTGCCAGTACAGGAGCAACAGGCAGCTCCTCTACATTAGTAGGGCACAGTGGAGCCCTGTCTGTACTGCTGGAAAAACTCCACCTTTGCTCTTTCCCTCCACAGGACCACTCCATGGGCCACTGGCTGTCTGCAGGCAGCCTTTTCCTGTTGCTAAAAGGGCTGCTAATTGGCTCTGGAGGGAAAGGAAGGTGCTGTGAAGGCAGGTGAATGGCTGTGCTGCTGCAGGGACTGCACACAGTGCCTGGTGGGAGCTGGGGGCACGGAGAGGGACTGTGTCTGGGACAGGGCCAGAGCAGTGGAGGAGGGCTGGAGGGTGTTGAGGCAGAGCTCTGAAGGTTTTCAAGTCTTCTAAGCCTAAGAATTTGTTTGAGGGGTTTTTTTTGTTTTGTTTTGGGGGTTTCTGTTTGCTTGTTTTGGTGGGTTTTTTTGGCTTTTTTAAATGTGTTTCATTCCTGGGGAGAATATTTCAAGAAACAGTTAGACTCTCTGTAGGAGTCTCTCCTATCAGCCTCTAAGACCTGTTATAACTGCAACTGTTGCACATAGGAAAAGGGAAGGTTGCTATTGCTGCTGTAAATATTCTGGGACACCAGATATTTCATACCGTTTCCAAAATTTCTGTTCATGGGCACTTTTTTTCCATCTGAGCTTCACACCTTGTACTTGAGCTCCCTTTCTGGATATGATTGTGAACGACTAAATATCAAAACCAAGTCCATACCCTGGTACAATATTGAACTAAAGAGTGTCAGTGCCACTTGGATTTAGCTCTTACGAGCTGTGAAGCAGAGCAGTACACAATAGATTCAGCAGCACCTAACTAAATTCAAGTATTCCAGGGAAAGAACTCATTGCTTAATCCCTGGAGCTGTGTGACTTCATATGATAATAAGATGATAGTAGAGGGAAGGGAAGCAAATGTGAATGACCACATTCCTTTGGCTCTCTGGGAGTGACTTTGTCAAATCACCTCCCAGTGCAAATTTCACATACACCCACACATACCCTGGAAGCAGAAAGTATCTTAGTGGAACTTGTTTAAAAAGCATCTCTGAGTTTACCTCTACTATGTATGAGAGCGTAAGCTCACACCCACCTGAACTTGGCATGGCTTGGCAGTCTTCCCCTTATCAACAGGGATATTGGTACAGCCTCAGTGCATGGCTATAGATGGGTTCAGCAGAGCTGTGCACTTCAAAAGGATAGGCTGCTGAATGGCTATGTAGGCATGTAAAAGTTTCAGACGTTTTCAAAGTCTGGATAGCTTCAGATGGATGAATTATGCTGGAAACATTCATCTTGCTAATCAATATCAGAGGATTAAACGAGATACAGTCCCTGAAAATCGTCTGTGGGTAGGATAAGGACCAGCCCTAGTGCAGACACACCAAATACATCTTTAGTGGAGATGTCTCCTAGATATCAGTATCCAGTAATAATGTTGTCAGTTTTGGTATTCAAAAGTTAATATTGGGGCTCAAATTTTTGGTTGGGTATTTTTTCATACCATTTTAGCTTTTAAGGTCAAGATTGCTCATTGGCTACATCTTTTGATTTTGCTGTTAATTTTCAAATGAGAACTGAGAAGAAATCAATAAAATAGAGTTTTAAGGAAAAATGCTATGTTCACAAAATAATTTATAATAAGTTATGAGTGACAGATTCAATTAGCCTTGCTCACTCATAATGAAATTATTTTACTGAATAAACTTATCACTATCAGATGCAAAAATCCAAAAATCCAGTCTATAAAAATTCCAAAACCCAATAAAATGTATATAGTCCTGTTAAGTGTAAGAGTGAAATATTAGATCTGTGATTTCAATATGGAGAGCCATCAGGAAACAGTTTCAAGACTAGAAGTAGTAATCATTCCATGAAATTAGCAGGTATCACCTTCAAACTCAACAAACACACAGTGAGTCTTCATATAATCTGTTTTTAAGCTAAGAACCCTTACACAGGATGTTAAGGAAGTTAAAACTTCTCTTCGCTCAAGGAAACACCAGAAAATATCTTGGAAAAGTTATTAAATGTTTGGAAAACATAACCAGCTCAGGAAATGACTCAGTCACAAAAAGTTGGAAGCTAGGTGAGTACCTGGGGAAAGTACCACAAAAACTAGTTTCTTTTTATATCCTGCATATCTGTAACACTATCTATGGCAAAAGAGGGGTAAAACTTTTCCCTGATAAGGAGACATTAAAAAGACTGAGGCTCTTCTGCTGACAGGAGAGTGTGGAAGGAGTTTTTGAAAATCTTGAATATCATGATTCTAACTTATCATTCATCGAATACTGCAGTTCTAGAAGTGAAACTTTTTCTTTTTTTTTTTTTTTTTCAAGAAGAACATTTCAAAACACACCAAAGAAAACACTTTCCCTTCATGAAGGACAGTGAACTTCTACAATTTGCTGGCCCAGGAGCTTGTAGAGGCCAATATCAGCCACAGCTTCAAAGCAACACTAAACAAACTCATTAACGAAGATTCATCCACATTCTAAAGGAAATATACAGAGATGCTCTAATATCCTACTACAAAAATTGTGGGTAATAAGAAACACTGACAACCAAGTGGCATAAGACATGTTCCATGAATAGTACCTCCTCTTGCCACCGGTTGTGACAAAATACTGTTCAAGGTCTTGGACCTGACCCAGCAGGGAGTTCTTCCTCAGGAAAGCAAGCTGGGATCTTGCTGCATCTTATGAAACTGTGTTCTGGAAAATTGACTGAGAGGAAATCAAACCTTTGCAGATTTCCTGTAAACAGATTGTTATAACTGTGTGGTCTCTCTGTACAATGCAAAGCCTGAATGAAAAAGTAGACCCTTGCAATTTCTGCAGAACAACCAGAAATTTTAATTTCAGTCATGCTACCAAAGAGCTATAGAAATAATGTTATCATCTCTGAAAAAATCAGTGTATTAATCCATTTGCCACTGCTTATTTTTCTGCATTTAGGAAATCCTACATCTCCTTAGACATCATAGCTAAGAGATCATGGAAAGTTTTAAAGACATATTTAATTTCTTTGATATTTTAGAAAAAAATACTACATGGACCAGGCTTATCAGATTCCAGTTCTAAATGCTGTCATTTCAGTTATACTGTTCTAAACAATTAAAATGAAAGGAATAGTAGAGGAAGCAGAATACTGTCATTAGGAGAATTATATCATGCTTTTCTCTGTACAATACAGTAGTAGTAGCTCTCCTGAAACACTAGGTAGTTCATTCAGCTGTCACTGGAATAGTTCTGTTTCAGATGTATGTTAGCAGAACAGGACATTACTACTAAATTTAAAGGATAATGTTAGTCATAAGAGGAAGAGCTTTCTGGGAAAGGAAATGTAACAGAAGAGCTTTATGGACAGCATTCATTTCCTTAGAGAGGTCTGACTCCAGTTCAGAGAGTGAACACTGAAATCGTCCCTGCTTCCTCTCTTCATTGGTGGGATGGGGAATCTTTCCAGGAGACCATGCAATCATGCTCTGGCAGAGGATAAACACTTTTTTAAGCAGCTGATTATCCCATTATCATGTAGCATTACGCTTTTCATGATCATCAACCATTTATTTCCCCTGATGCATCACAGCCTGGGCTCAACAATGTTGAGATATGGCTTTGCTGAAAAGTATACAGGAAAATTCAGACTTTTTCTGCCAGAATGATTTTGAATATGTTGTATATGTTTTTTGTGTTTGGCTTTTTTTTAATTTATAAATTAGATCGGTCATTTTTAAGGGTTAAGAAGAATCTCCTGTTTTCACTACTTCTGTATTCCTGAGGTATGTTCTCTAAGCCATACAGATAAATTGTAATGAAACTAGTTGCAATGAGCAGAAATATCTGTAATATATATTCTTGGTGTATGTTATGAAAGTCAGTCAATTTGACTGCTCGAAGGCAATGTGAATGGCGTAAACTACATCTTGAATGCAGCCAGATTAGGTTTCTTCAGCAAGACCAAAGAAATCTAACTCACTGAGACAAAGTCTCAGTCAGAAATGTTGTGCATATCCAATTCCATGATATTTTGGGTAAACATAATTTGTTTAATGTACTGTAAGAAAGACCTAGGGCTAAAGTCAAGTGTATAGGAAACTGTTGTGCCGTCTTGGAGGCCAAGGGATAAAATAAAGTTTCTTCCTGTGCACCTGGTTAGACCCATATAAGGTGAATTTGTTATGCTTCCTCTGCAGCTTAACATAGTTGTGGTGCATATATTCAGCATATTTTCCATTAAGTGAAATCTGATGATTTTGTAAAAATGATGTTATTATGTTGCAGCTTAATCAGAGCTTTTAGGGACTTTAAGGATAGCACTTTTCTTGTAAAATATACATCTGTAAGGTGCATATATATATCTTAACTCAAAACTTCTAGGTCTTAGTCACCAAAGAGAAATAAATTTTGATATAAAGGCATCCAAAATAAATCAGATGATCTAAAACATCTCTATGTGTTTCAGTTGTCTGTAAAGTAAGCCTGTGGTAATGAACACGGTACACACACTTGTTCTACTGATACTGCCTTATTTAGTGAGTTAAAGCATGTGAGTAGACCTTTTTGCAGGTTCAGAGAATTCCTTCTCCCAAACACATAACAGGACTTTTAACCCGTTTGAATCCATGAGCTGATCAGTTCTGCTGACCAAGATTCACCTCTGTCTGGAGAAGCATGTTGTTTCACTGCTTGTCTGCAGGTGTGCTATGAGGGAGCAGCATTCTGCTGCTTTGAGGAAAAGGGACCATCCATCCCAAAATTTCCAAGCTGCCTACAGATAATTTTGTTGCTGAATGGCTTATAATCAAAAAAAAAAAAAAACACTTTCATTTTGCAGCAGTGCTCACACTGGTGTAGGTTCTTCTCTGTGATACTTGAGTCTTCTTAGGGAAGTCCTCACAAGAGGCTGATTTTGTTCAGTAATTGACCTTGGTGAGGGGCAAGGAGAGAGTGACAGTACTTCAAAGGCTGTCAATCAGAGATTAACAAACTCATACTCATTTTGTGTTGCTGTTGACATCTTTAATTCACCCAGGACTTAAAGACAAGGCATTTCTATTTCATGCTTATTTGCCGATATTAGTGTCTAGGGAACTTTACCACTTATGGGTCTCATACGTTAAATTGCTGAAGTTCTATATGTTTTAAAACTCTAATCTTACTTAGCTTCCATGTTCCCACAGACAAACTTCACCCTTGCACAATGTTACCTCTTTAATCAACTTTAAATTGTATACCCAGCAGGTCTGCAATAGATTTTGGAACATAACACTATTGTTGGCATAATTTCAGGATTATATTTTCTCAGAGATTATCTGCTTTTAATCAATTTCTGAAGTGAACAGAGCACAGGACTTTCCCACAGTTGCAAACACACATCTCCTTTTTCCATTTAGTCCTTTTCCTCTATGTATTTCTGTTCTAATTGATTAAAGGTTAATGTCCTTTTTACCTGTATTTTCTCATTTTTTCCTATCAACAGTTGCATGAAGATTCATTAGGTTTTATCTAAATACTTCTTAGTGTATGTGTAAAATTAAAGAAATTAGCTGTGTTTTTTTTTCATACCATGCCTTTTATGTTTGAGAAAATGGAATTTGCATTGAAGTTCAAACTGTTTATGTTGTCTAGGTCTTTTTTAATGCTATTTAAGCCAGAACTACATGTAGAAGCATTAAAAATTTGCGGAATTAGAGACAAATTTCCAAAATCCATATCTAAATTTAAGAAAGTAATTTTGAAAGCCTACACAGGAAATAATCTGCCATGTGAAATTTCTTACCTCTTCAGAGGTCCTAAAAGAGCAAATAAAGTACTTGCTACAGTTCTACTGGTAGGCACCTAAAAAGGGATTATGATTGTGCACAGAAATCCCATTAATAAAATATTAACTTCTTTTTATTGTGTCCCTGCTGATCTCAATTCATATTATATTCCTTTGTTTTCAGACCTTGAAGTTTCAGATCCACACATTTCTTTTGCAGTAGGAGGGAAAATTACAAAACCCACAAGGTGGTCTGAGGGACTTCGCAGAGAAAGTCTAGATTTAGGTAGGAATTCAACATCTGAAGCTGATTTACAAAGCAGGAGTGTGCCACTGAGATCTCAAGAATTAGAGATTCTGAGAGAAAACAGTCAATACTCACTTACCATGTTCATCCAATAGTATGTTGTCAGGTTTGATGTCCCTGGAAAATAAGGAAAGGAATGCATTACATTTCATACCCAAAGGAAACCTGCAATTTTAAAGTTTTCCCCATTTGGGTATGAGGGCTAAGTCACTTAAATCATTACAAAACCAATGAAAACCATATCATACATAAAGGCAAACGATTTTTATCTACATCCTTATTTCCCTGAGAAAACATGCATACTAAAGAGGATCTCTAGGTTTCTATTTGTTGTGGTTTTGTTTGCATATGGTTAGCATTGACATGGGCTTGGTTTTCAAGATTATGTGATTTATTCTTTATAACAGTGGGAAAATGAGATGGAAGATTTGCATCTAGGAGGTGCTTGATTGCTTCAGGGACTCCACATTTGACAGGAATAATTTAATTGGAAACATTGATGGTTTACCCTATCTGCCAGATGCTGCTAATCTGCGATGTTCACATTCATGGTCACTCACACACTGGAGAGTCCTGTGAGCTACCTTGTGCTAATCGAGTATGTCTAGCAGCTCTCCCTTTAGTCACTGAATCCCCACTTGGCTGTCTGCACCAGCAGGTACTATGCTGTTAGGGAAAAGGTGAGGGGGTAAGGGAAGATAAAGATTATGATGGGCTGAAGCATCAGCTCAAGAACATTCTTTTTGGCACTAGAGAACAACATTGGCCTAGAGAGTTTCACTTTCAGGATCATTTTCCATTGACCTAAGTTTATGCTGCTTTCAGGAGGGATGGAGACAACTTTTCCTCACCATTTTTAGGCATTCCCACTCTCTCTCTGGGTTCAGCATTATTGCCATTGGTGTGGACTTGTTCTGGGGGAAATTTGTCTCTTCGCTTTGCTAGCTGGATCGATCCCTGGCTGGGCTCACCCTGGGGCTTGGTGAGTGTGATGTGGCAGTGTTGTGTGGCACTGCCTTGTCCCTGGCAGCTTGCACTTCATGCAATTTTGAAGCTGTGTTCTTGGTATGGCACTGACAGAGGGCCAGAGGCATCAGTCCACCTTGAGCAAAACTTTTGCCCCTTGGGCTGAATTTTCCCCTTATCTCAAAAGACAAGGTACCAAAGTAAGCTGTTGAATAAGTCTGCATATGACACTCCAAACATTCCCACCTGTTTAATTTCTTTAAGACAAGGGATGACTTGATGGCTTGATTATTCCAATTTGACCATTTCCTGGGAAAGCTTTTTCCCAATGTGCCCATAAACGGAATAAAGAAAAAAGGAAAAAGTTGCAAAAAGAAAATGTGTTACACCAGAATATCTGTGTTTGGGCTTTTTTTTTTTTTTTTTTTAAATTTTAAATTTTAATTACAGAAAGACTTCTCGAGTAAACATCATACAGGAATAAGACAGAAATAGCAATTATAATATATATATTGCTTGCACGATATGAGCTTAGTCATCACCCAAACTCTACATCTTTATTAACAGAAGAAGCTTGCACCTTCCTTAGCATTCTGGATTCCACACTTTCTAGCCTTCTTGAGAATCATATGAAATTATTAAGTATGCTAAGATTATGATTATAAGTCATGTAGCAGCAGCTGGGGAAACATAGGATAAATAAGAAATTTGCTTGAATAATTCTCTAGACATTCAGAAATAATGTAGGATGCATATGTGTCCATGTAAGGAAAAGGATTTCACTAGGAATTACCATCTGGAATGGAAATTTTAAATTATCCCAATATTTCAGTGGGAAATACTGTATTTCTTTTGCACAACTTACAGGCTACTTATAACTGTCTGATTCAGAGGCAGTTCTATTTATGTAATATGTAGGGAGGGAACATCTGTCTTAGAGCCTATTTCACCCAAAACCTTCCAAACTCTGACTTGTGTCTTTCCTGTCCCCTATAGTCACTTGGGATATCATTTATCATATCAAAACCTTTCCTTCCCTGATTTCATATGAGTCAAGCTGTGAGTTACAGGCAAACTGTAGGAATAAATATCTTTTTTTAAATTATAATATTTATCTTTGGTTGAAGTATCATAGGAAATTCTACGTATTTTTATATCCAATGTTATATCTAACTTCTCAGTTTTAAAAGAGCTAATGTTCAGATGGTATCAAATATATATGCTAGTGACAAAATGATTTCTGGGTTTTGATAACTGTTTTCTGATAAGAGTTGGAATTGTGATTTCATGTTGAATAGTCTTTGTGGCTGATCCATGACTTGAAAATACACTTCAGTGGAAGTAAACATGTCAAAGTTTTGACAGTTGAATTAAATATTTTAAACTTTGCCTTCACAAATTTTAATAAACACAAACTGACTGTGCATTTCTCACATGAGTAAAAAGATTGGGGGTCATACACAAGTACAACTGGGCCTTTCTGTGCCTTCCTAAAATCAGTGATACATTCAACATCACTCCAAACTGTTTTTCCACTTAAAGAAAATTAAAATTTGGAATTATACAATCACTAGTACTTCACTGAGAATAAAACTGATCAAAAGGAAAAATTCAGCTTTATAAGCTACTGCCATCTGTGTAACAATACAGCATGCAGGGATTGCTCATTACAAGACTGTGCCTTTTCTATCTCTTTTTTTAAGATGAGTTCAAACAATTTGAATATCTGCTATGGTATTGCATCATTAAATAGACCATACATTTTAATAGCCACCAGAAAAGACATTGACAAATCCACTTGACAACTGTATGTATCATCAAATATATTCTTCATGCAGTTTGCATCTGTAATGCTCAGAAAGTTTGAGTGGTAAAATTAGATCTGTGCTTATCTTTCCGTGACTAATTCATGCAGTGGCTGATACTTGATACAGATGTGCACAGATCATAGAGCTTTTCCTACCTAAGGGATGTTCCCCACTGTGGGCACTGTTGGCTTTGCTCATTTTGCTCAGAGGCAGGACTGTAGCTGGGGGCAGATACCACAGGGTGTATCGCCTTGCACACAGCAGCCCAACCTCTCGGTCCCTGGGGCAACCTGATAGACTCATAACCATGCCTCAGATCTCAAAACAGGCTATTTTTAACTGCTTTTGCAGCAAGTAAAAGTCATGGGCTAACTTGAGAGGAGGTAAACAAGTTTCTTAAGTAAGATGCTGCTGTTCTGTGACCACATGCCTGGAGATGTGCGCAATGCACAGATTCACGCTGCAGGTGAGAAAGAAAAGCACAAGGTCAAGAGTGTGCCTTCCAGCAACACTGTTGTGTGCTTGTCCCCGGTTTACAGCACGCACTAAAAGCTCTGTTCTCCAGAGGTAGCTTGTTGAAAGCTCCGAAGACTTCAGAGGAACAAGGGCACTGCTCTGCCCTTGCACTGACAGCTGCCAGATAGGTACAGGGCAGGGATGGTTCAACATGGACGAGGGGAACACGTTGCAGGTCTGGGTGCATTGCAAGTTACTGGATATATTCAAAACTGAGGGCTTCTGGTATCTGTTATATTCAGTTCCTCTAAAGAAATACTCTACAAAAATTCACTTAAATAGTAAAAACACTGTTTATGTAGAAAATTGGATTTAAAAGATAAAAATTCTTTAGTTAAGCAATTTAAATTAAAATGTATTACATAAGTGAAATTCTGTTTTGATTACACATCAAGGTTTCTGAAAAAAATTTCCCTTTAGCAAGCATGTTCAAAAAACAGGGTGTGAAATTCAGCACCTTAACTTCAGGGTTTTCCTGTTATGCATATCCCTAGCTAAGAGAACTAACTGAAATACTTTAATAATCCAAGTGCCTTGAACCAGCTCATAAGAGAAATTGAAGGACTTTTGCAAGGAGCAAATATCTAGGCTGAGTGGGCATCCCATGCTTGAAGATACTCTCTTTGCATGGAGTAAAACCATGTGTGTGACTCCACTCACGCTCACTGCATTTGCCAGTCAGAATGTCCTCCCCAAAAGGCTCACAGTGATAACAAAGGACATATGTTGAAGAATCTGTAGTTTTAGTTCCCTCTTCCATCAGTGTTTCTTTCTGGTGTTACTAAGTTAAGTAAAAGCAGATTTCTAAATCAAGAAGTGGAGAGGCCATGCAATTGTCATTCTTGTCGGTTTTCAAGACCTGACTGGACAAACCTCAGGCAATCTGGTGTAATTTGAAGGCTGAACGTGCTTTGGGCTGAACATTAGACTAGAGGCCTCTGGAGTTCCCTTCTACCCCAAATTAGTCCGAGTCTATGAAAAATAATGTGTCCAAGTTCAAAGCCCCTCATGCTTATTTCCCCCCACCGTCCCTCTGCTTTTGGCTACAAGGAAGTTCATGAAAGATTGACGAGACTTGTAAGAGATATATGTGGAGTTTAGTGAGTCTTTGATATGGTCCATAGCAGTTAGAGCTATTCATATCTTCCACCTTAAGTTAAATTCTGTCATGGGGTTTGAATGCTCATGAAGAAACTAGTAGGAATAAATAGCCTATCTTCAGCACGAAATGAGGTTAAAATTGAAATACCCTGCAGTGCAGCACTGGAGAGGCGTAACACAATATTTATTAGCTATGTAAGTGGTAAAAGAATGAGGATTATGTCACCTGAAGAAGACTGAGAAATCTCCATAGGAATGAACAACTTTAGGTGATTATATTGCCACTGTCAGATAAAATGATAGACATTATATATATACATCAGAAGGGAAGACTCTGAATTGTTTATATGGATTAGTGGCCATACATAATCTTTCCAAGGTCACACTGTTGTGTTCCTTATGTAGGTCAATTAGTTATACAAAAGAAGGCTGAAAAATATGTGATGATGCCATTCATTCTAAAGCTTGAAATTCAGAATAATGTCCGGAAAAGTTTCCTGTGTACTACTATCAACTAGCAATCAGGACATTGTAACTTTTTGTCTCTATTTTTATCGATTGGACTTGAAACATCCATCTATAAATGAAAGGAGTATCGCTGGTGAAGTCAACCATGAATTGCCCAATTTTCTCAAGGAAAAGAATTAATGGCTGGTTCATTGGCTACCACTTCACACTGATATCAAACAATTCTAAGAAGGCTAGAGAAAAATATTGGTAAAAAGA